GTTGCAATCATGTTAGAACTGTGCTACTATGGGAGAATGAACATTTGAAGACCTTCCCAATTTTTCTAAATGACATGTAATATATCTCTAGAAAGCTTAGAGATAAAGCTACGTCTCTCATATTTTTCCAGATGTGTCTAGGAAGTGGAACAACCCCAAAAATTTCGTGCAAGTCAGCTGACGTGTCTCCCAGTTAAAGAAGGATTCTTTCCTAGTTTGTCTCTTTAATTGTTTATGGTTTTGATTTTGTTTTAGGAGAGTTTTTCCAGACCTTTTGAGATTAGAGTTTAGTTATTTTGCACTATATAAGGTTGCCCTAGGTCTCTAGAGAAGGGGGTGGAGATAAAAGAGAAAAATATAGCTTTGGGCACACCACCAATGTTTCGGGTTTTATTATTTTATTTTATATATTTTCTTATTTTTATAACTATATGTAACTAAATTTCTTTCTAAGGTTTATCATGAAGCCATGACATGATTATTTGCGAAGTACTTTGTTGATTTCTATTCAATTATATGCTGTGTTAAATTCTTAATTTTTGTGTGAATTTTATTCTAAGTTTGAAATCCTATTGCTTAATCACCACTAGGAACTGTGCATGTAGATAATTGAATAAATCTAGGAGAGAAATATCATTCACTAGGTTTATTGGAACTAAGATTAAGAAGAGTAGATAGCTAGGAGAGAAACGTCATCCACTAGTCCTACTTGGTTGATAGAATTATTCTAATCTTAATGGGTTCTTATATGTAAAATTTTAACACCTTAACAGAGTAGAATTGCATATGGGGATACACGATTTATGACCTTGACAGGCCTACTTCATACTTTAGAAAGAACAACCTTTAACATTGGCATCATAATTGGATGGTAATTGGCTCTAAGAAAAGGAAATAGGATTGTCATTGGTGGATTCATAACTTGACTTCTTTTAAACTCTATCTTTGTTGAGTGCTTTATTTTTCTTTCTTTTAATTATTGCAATTTAAGTTTTCTTTAATTCATGACTCCAATCAATCAATCGTTCATTTAATTGGGTTTAATGCAATTTAACTAATTAAGTTATTTTTATCAGTCCTTGTGGGTTCGACCTCCTACATCTCTATACTATTGTTGATTCGTGCGCTTGCGAGTAATTTAATTTGTGATTTTTTGAATCCTCTTTTTCAGGTGTTCGAAAATCTACATCACTTGGGATCCTTAACTTCAACAGTCCCATATATGAAAACTCTTTTAACAATGAAAGGCCCTATCTATGTAGTTATTAATTTTCCAAGAAACAAATGAAGTCTAGAATTATACAAAAGAACAAGTTGAGAAGGCTCAAAATATTTTTATCATGAAAAATTTTAATACGTTCTTTGTAGATTCGTGAGTTCTCATATGCATCATTCATGACTTCCTCAAGTTCATTCAATTAAAGGACATCAAAATTAAAGTATTGAAAGTAAACATACAAAAAGTACGACTTCACGAAGTAAAGGTGGAGGAATTAAAGTATTGAAAGTAAAGATAGACGGAATAAAGAACTCTTGACTTTGAAGTTGACACGAGCTGGGCTGGTCCGGGCATGCACAACACGAACCCAGCCCATTTAAATACGGCACGACACGGTCCAAACACGATTATTGGTAAGCCATGTTGGGATTAGAAAATTAAGCTCAATGAACTGAGCAAGCCGGTGGCTTGAACCATCTTCAAGCCCGCCATACCCACTTAATTTTTTTGTTTTTTTGGTTTTTGGGTCAAGGACCACTTTACATAAACCATATGTTAAGTCCTTCCCCTCTCAATATCTAGATATATGAACTCTCATTTGGTGACTTCTTCTTCCCACTCCTCTTTGTCCACTTACACTCCCTTTTTTGTTCTAGTAAAAACTATTGAAAAACAAACGGAAGTGTAAGTGGACAAAAAGGAAGTGGAAAAAGTGAACTAAATAAATATCACAGCAAATCCTATATTTTTAGTCCCATATTACATATAAGAAAGGTATGAACATATTACAATTTTGTTATTGTATAAATTTAGGAAGCTGATTTTCCCACTCTCTTTTGCTTTTTAATACTTTTTAATTAATTTTGTTCTTTTTTGTTCTTTCTCTTTCCTATTCTACTCTTATCCTACATTAATTTCTTTTTTACTTCACTTTTATATTATTTCTTTTTTCTTTATACTTAATTTTCCAACTTGCATTCCATTTTCTTTTTCTTTATACTTTTGTTTGGGCCCAAAAATTGACACCCAGCCCAACGAAAATGAGGCCTAAAATCTAAGAAAAGCCCAGCCCAAAACCTGGGCCTCACAACCCCATTGTGATGGAAAGGGGGAAGCCCAGAAATAGGAAACAATCCCACGTGATATCTCTGGGATGAAGGAAAGTCAACAATGGCAACTGTCATGAGAGAAGTGATTGAAAAGTCTATGTCATCAAGCTGTTATGAAAAAAGCCTTGAAAAAATCAGAAGATAAAAATCCCTCTTACATATACATATGTATATATTAAATCAGAGAATTTTTCTCTGTCTTTTCAGAGAAGGTAATTCTCCCAAGGAGATAAGCAAGTTACAATCTCAGAGAGGGATAAGCAGGAAAGCAGGAAGCTGTCCAGAAAAGGAGTCAAACTAACCATCACGGGCAAAATATCGCAGGGGGCAGTTGAAATTAGGAAAGAGATTTCAAGAAAATCAGGGAAGTGATTGCCTATCTGTTGAGAACCTATCTACCAAAAACTGATGAAATCCCCTTTTTCTCTTTTCCATTTTTAAAGGAAGATCTTTTGAAAGGATTTGCCGCCCATTATTAAAAGAATTACCCTACTCCAGAAGACATTTCTTATAAATACAAGAAGGAGTGAACAGGGCAAAGGACAATCAATCTTACAACAAAAATTTCATCACTCAACCAAACAAAGGTCCTACACAGGTAAAACCGTCACATAAACAAGCTCAGAGTCAACCAACAAGTCCACTTGAATTTCAAGTGAAAAACCAGCTCCAGATCAGAATGCCCAGAATCCAGATTTAGGAAGCAAGTCATTCAAAACGAGATTTCTCTCGTTACAAATTTGGTTCAGCAAAAACCAACACAAGCAGAGTTTGAATCTCCTCCAAGTATGGAAAACCCCAGCCAAATTCACGGAATAGCCTCTAGCTCACCAACGTCCTCAAGAAACAGCCACTTCTGCCCTTTCAGACTGAAGAAACCGCAGTTCTGCCTACTCAGAAGCTTCACAAAAGCTTGAGGTACATTAAAGCTCTGCCAGAATCAACCTTTGGCATCGATTTGTAGTTGAAAATCGGGCAATCAGAGTTGTCTACGGTCCAGTCCAGCCCAGACATTCCCAGTCCAGCCCATCACAGAGCCTCCCATCCAGGCAGAAATGGAGATCTAGCTATCTTTTTATCTTTTTGGCATCGACATATATTTTTGTAGTCTTGTAAAAGGCACTTCCGCCCAAAAACAGCTTAAATTTCATCAACTATTTGGCCAGAACAACCTCTTTATACTGAGATAAATTACTAAAGTCCTCACCAGTCTGAGGCAAGAAAAGAACTTACTTGGGAGATATTCCTCACCCAAATTCACAATCGTTTGTTTAAGAAATCAGTAACTTGGGGCGCAAGTTATCCATTCCAGACTAAGTCTGCTAGACTTTTCATTACTAGCAGTGGCACGCTCGCACACCAAAGAAAGCTGACTTGTGGACCAGTCTATGGTTCTCAAGGCAGTGGGGAACTTTGCCCTTCCATCATAGGAGTAAACACGAAACGGGTGAACAATTTGGCACGCCCAGTGGGACTTCTCAGTATACATATTCTCATTGAGTTCTTCACCAGTTCATGAATACCGGAAGCTCTAGCCAGAACCCACACCACGGCATGGAAATAAACCAAGTGGCCCTCAGGGAAGGACTGGAATCAGAAGAAAGTGATGCCCGGCATTCAGCACATGGCAGCACAGGGAGTAGGAAGTCCAGGACCGGTTCCAGAAGGATGAACCTGATACAAGAATCTGTGTTACGACAAGAGGTCACAACACAAAGAAGCCAAGATACTCTAAATAATATGACAGCCATGATGCAATGGCAGGTCAACAGGCAATTCAGAAAGGATCGAGAGGCTGCCATGGCCAGAATTCCCAATCCCGATGAGGTGATCCAGCAACTGGACCTTCCCTACGGTCCCCCACCAGGGTTGGCATGGCCAAATCAAGAGAATCCTCTTGTTGCACAGATAGCTGGGATACCAGAACGGGGGGGAATCCAGGCTGGACACGGGGAAGTGGCTTTTCCTATCCAAGAACGTCCGGCCCCAATACGGCCAGAAGGTCCTGCGCCAGGACAAGTTCCACAGAATCAGCAAGAGCCTCAGCCTGCTCCGCAACAAGCGGCCCCACAAGATCACCCTATGGAAATTCTGCCTGAACAGCCAGCAGTGTTACCCTACAGGCCCAGAAGGATGGACCCCAATCCATTCCCTCCACCTACAAGAGGAAGGAGAGGCAGAGGGGGAAATTACCCTTATGCTAATAACGACAGGAACAGGCAGGGGGCAAACTGGAGGAACCACCCAGGCTTGGAGGAGCCGGAGGAGAACAGGGAAGAAGTTCTGCCTAGACCATATAGGGCAGAACCACAATTCAATCATGCCCAGCCAGAACAGGGACAAAACCTCCTCCCTGTTAATGCTCTAAACGACGTGGGGGCATTGCAGAGGATGATCAGGGAAATGATGGAGCCTGAGGCCAGGAGGGGGGAAAGGCCCGCCTATAGGAAGCCATATCCACCTTACATTGATCAGATACCCTTGTCCCCAGGCTTTAAAGTACGGATCCTCATGCTTCATCAGTTGAGCACGTAGGCAGATTTTCTACCCAATGCATAGCCATAGAGAATAACCCACTGCTAAAGCTAAGGCTTTTTGGGAATTCTCTCTCTGGACAAGCTTTCACTTGGTACACTAATCTGCCAGCAAATTCTATTCAGACATGGGAACAAATGGAGAGCGTCTTCCACGACTACTATTACAGGATTCAGCCAGAAGTCACCATCAGTGACCTTGCAGCTCTCAAACAGAGTGAAGATGAACCTGCCCAAGACTTTATAAACAGGTTCAGGAAGCTCAAAATGAAGTGCCGAATCCCCATCGAAGAAAGACACTTCATCCAAATGGCTCAGGCTGCCCTCAAAATCTCTCTGAGGAAAAGATTTGATGGGATGCTGTTTGGAGATCTGGCAGAACTGGCAGATAAAGCGGCCAAGTACGAGGAATTGCTCAGAGAGGAACAGCAGAAGAGAAACTCTTCCAAAGGCACGTATTATAAATCCCCTTCTTCCTCAATACATATGATTGAAGTAGAGTCAGAAGAAGATGCGGAGGAATCAGAAGAGAGAGAGGTTGCAGTTGCGGAAATGGCAAAAATAAAGCATCCCATCAGTTGTAAAACTCTTACAAAACCTCCAAGGGATCAGAAGCCGCCACCATTCACAGGAGGGTTTGTTCCAAACAAACCCATGCAGAACAAAGTGTATTCCTTCGATCTGACCAAAGTAGATGCCTTGTTTGATGAAATGTTGCTACAAAAAGCAATAGAGACGCCTCACAGAATGCCCAAGCCAGAAGAACTCAAGGGCAGACAGTATTGCAGATGGCACAATTCTTGGAATCATTCTACCAATAGTTGTGTTGTTTTCAGAGATGTCATACAGGAAGGGATAATAGCAGGAAGGCTGAAGCTGGCAGAAAAACCTCCATCTGTCACCACAGATCCTTTTCCCCTGCCACAAGTTAACATGGTCAACCTAAATTGGCCAGAACGAAGGAAGGACAGACCAGCCATACAGGCTGGCTCCAATGGAAGCAGAATAGTTTCAAAAGAGACTATGGAAAAACCAAAAGCAACCATTTCAGCTGGAATAGTACTCTGCAGCAGGTGCAAGTGTGAGGCTGAGTTGGAAGTGGTCCTGGAAAAACAGGAGTTGCCCACTCCAAGTGTTTTTGACCGAATCGGAACCACGCCCCATGATAGGGCCAGACAAAGAAACTACCCTAGGCCTGTCCAATCCAACAGAAGAGTGACTAAGCAGCCCAAGGAGGAAATATCAATAAAAGTGCCCGGAAGTGACAAACCTTTGGCAGCCATCATTGAAGGCAGGTGGTATTCTGTCGGCAAGAATGGCAGACCAACAATGGAGCTAACAAGAACCCAAAGGAGGAGGGTTCAGAGACAGTACTGCACATTCCTCAATAACGAGAAAAACGCACAGATGCTTCCAAAGGCCAATTCTGCCAAAAAAGGGAAATAACCAGAAATACTCCCCCAGACAGAACAAGTGATCTCTCAACTACAGAAGTTGACAAAAGCAGAATCCTCAGAGAAACCTTCTATCCATCCTGCCTCCGCCTCAGGAGGTCTACTTGAAACTCCCCAACTAGAGGAAAGAACCGATCCTGTTCCAGGAGAAGGACAAGAAGACTGGGTTGAGGAAGATGAAGAGGAGCAGCTGGATTATGAGCCATCTACAGATGACCAGAATACGCTCCTCGGGACAGAAGAACTAGGAGAATGGACGGAGGAATATGATGGAGAGCAGATGGATTATGACGGAGAGTTGGATGCGGAAACTGAGGCCTTTGGTGCAGAATTGGAGGACTTGTTACGTGCTGACCTAGGCATTAATATGGTGTTCATTCTGCCAGAAACGTTCTGGGCGGTAGAAGGACAGAAGAGCACTCTGGACGGAGACGTATTTTCCCAAGAAAGTTTTGAATGCAGGTTGGCAGAAACGGAAGAAATGCCAGAACAACAAACAGGCAATCCCAGAATAGAAGGAGCAACCCACAAGCTGACAACAGGTCCCCTTTGCTTCTCCAAACCAACCAAAGAAATGGCAAACCACCTCAGACCTTTGTTTATAACAGCAAACTTTGGGGGTGTTCCTATCCCCAAAACCATGGTAGATGAAGGTGCAGCCATCAACCTTCTGCCTCACAGAATGCTGAGCAAAATGGGCAGAACAGAAAAGGATTTAATCCCAACCCGCCTGACCGTCACCAACTTCGCAGGGGGCATCACCAAAACCCTTGGGATTCTGGATGTAGATGTCTTGGTAGGAAGCAAGAAGCTGAAGGTTGCATTCTTTGTGGTAGATACCACCTCCACCACTTACAATGCATTGCTTGGCAGAGATTGGATCCATCAAAGTCTGTGTGTTCCTTCCACTCTTCATCAACAGTTAGCTTTATGGAACGAAGATGGCTACATGGAGATAATAGAGGCCGATCCACGGCCATTCCTACCTTCTGCCATGTGTTGCGAGGCAAGGTACTATCATGATGACCTTGGTCCTTTCACTTTCTTTGGAGTCAACCAGAACGGCCGCCCCCATGGTGTCACGGCCCAGAGACTCATTGAAGAAGGTCTAACCAATTCTTTGGAGGATTGGAACAGACCTTTTGTTCTAAATTTCCAGAGCACTGATGTTTAGTCCCAATCAACAAGAAAAGGATCGAGCTGCAACAATCCGGTCCATTACAAAAAGATTGTTGATATACTGGGAGGAAAGAAAGTTGTTTGCACAGAATCCAGCCATCAATATGGCAGAATTCACTCATGAAAGTACGGAAGGCCAGGAGGAAGAGGAATTACAGGAGGAAGTGCTAGATTTCGCACCAGCCGCATTGGATGACTCTCTGCCAGAGGTAGAAGATCCTTTGCAGGAAATAAATTTGGGAACAGAGGAGGATCCAAGGCCAACCTTCATCAGCGCACTATTGAAAGAACCACTTAAGAATGAACTCGTTGCACTTCTGCAAGAGTTCAAAGATTGTTTTGCTTGGCATTATCACGAGATGCCAGGATTAGACAGGGAATTGGTAGAACACAAGCTACCAATCAAAGAGGGATACCTTCCAGTCAAACAGGCCAGAAGAAGAATGTCCATGGACACGGAACTGAAAGTCAAAGAAGAAATAGAAAGGCTGCTCAAAGCAGGATTCATCAGGCCTGCCATCTATGCTGATTGGCTAGCTAACATTGTACCAGTTCTAAAAAGGAAAACTGGGGCAGTCAGAATCTGCGTGGATTACAGAAACCTGAATGAAGCCTTTCCCAAGGATGAATACCCTATGCCAATGGCAGACATGCTAGTAGATGGAGCTGCCCACAACCAGATGCTATCTTTCATGGATGGCAACGCAGGTTACAATCAAATCATGATGGCAGAGGAAGACATCCACAAGACAGCCTTCATGTGTCCAGGGCATATAGGTGCTTTTGAATACACTGTAATGCCTTTTGGTTTGAGAAATGCAGGGGCTACCTATCAAAGGGCAATGAATTCTGTTTTCCACGATATGATAGGGCATTCCTTGGAAGTGTATACTGATGATGTTGTGATCAAATCACCAGAGGAGGGAAACCACATGACAGATCTAAGAAGAGCATTCCTCAGAATGAGGCAACATAAACTGAAAATGAACCCAAAGAAGTGCGTTTTTGGAGTTCAAGCGGGAAACTTCCTAGGATTCTTGGTCCACCAAAGAGGCATAGAGATCGACAAGAACAAAGCAAAATCCATCATGGAAGCTTTGCCGCCTAGGAACAAGAAGGAATTGCAAAGCCTCTTAGGAAAAATTAACTTTTTAAGGAGATTTATATCCAATTCTGCAGGAAAGATCCAGCCTTTCTCTCCTTTATTAAGGTTGAAACAGGAACAAACCTTTAAGTGGGAAGAACAACACCAGCAAGCTTTTGAGGAAATCAAGCATTACCTCTCAAATCCACCAGTTCTGTCCCCACCAAAGAGAGGCAGACCACTCAAGCTCTATATATCTGCATCAGAAGTATCCATTGGAAGTTTATTGGTTCAGGATAACAAGGAAGGAAAGGAATAGGCGGTTTACTACCTAAGCAGAACTCTGACAGAAGTAGAAAGGAAATATTCTGCAATTGAAAGACTTTGCCTAGCCTTGTACTTCACTGCTGTAAAGCTCAGACATTATATGCTACCATACACCATCTATATCATTGCCAAAACAGATCTGATCAAATACATGCTGACAAGACCAATGCTAAGAGGCAGAATTGGAAAATGGACCTTGGCCTTGACAGAATTTGCCTTCAGATATGTCCCTCAGAAAGCCGTCAAAGGACAAGCTGTGGCAGACTTCCTAGCAGATCATCCCGGAGAGGAGATTGAAAATATGGACTCTTTAGACATAGCAAATGCAGATCTATTAACCAGAGCTCACACCTGCCTCAACAATCCTATCTACTCAGTTCATCTTACACCTTGGAAGTTATACTTTGATGGATCAAAAACTGATATAACTTCCGGGGCAGGAATTGTTTTGGAAGAACCACTTGGAATCAGACACTGCTACTCTTTCCAATTAGATTTCCAATGCACCAACAATAGGGCAGAATATGAGGCCTTAATCATTGGCTTGGAAATGCTGGTAGAATTAGGAATCCAGTCTGTGGAAATTCTGGGAGATTCCATGCTGGTTCTAAAACAAATTGACGGGGAATACAAGTGCCTAAGCCCTTCTTTGGCTGTCTACTTGGTGGCAGCTAGGAATCTTCTGACAGAATTCAGAGAGGCCACTTGGGAACATATCCCAAGGGAAGAAAATTTTGCAGCCAATGAATTGGCCCAGGTGGCAACAGGCATACAAATACCCGAAGACTGTGTACAAAGAATCATCAAGATAGGAAAGAAAAGCCTACCATCGGTTCTGGCCAGGGGGATGGAGATAGATGTCAACTCTGCCACAATCACTGAAGATGATTGGAGGAATCCTATCATGACCTATCTACGATATCCAACTTTGCCCTCTGAGAAGAAAGTCAGAATCATGGCTTTGAACTACCTTATGTGGAATGAAGATTTGGTCCGAAAGAGTAAGGATGAGGTGCTTTTAAGGTGCCTCGGGAAGAAAGAATACATGAAAGTTATGGGGGAAACCCATGAAGGAATCTGTGGAGCACATCAAGGTGGAAGAAAAATGTGCTGGTTAATTAGGAGATATGGCTACTTCTGGCCAACCATGATGAAAGATTGCATTAACTATTCCAAGGGGTGCGAATCTTGTCAAAGGCACGGTCCAGTCCAGCAGGCTCCATCAGTTCCCATGAATCCAGTGGTAAAACCATGGCCCTTTAGAGGATGGGCAATGGATCTCATTGGTAAGATCTATCCAGCCAGCAGCCAGCAGCACTGCTTTATCATTGTTGCCACAGACTACTTCACCAAGTGGGTGGAGGCCAAGGCTGTTAAATCCACTACATCTCAAGAGATCATCATTTTCATAGAAGAACAGATCATCCAAAGATTTGGCATCCCAGAATCAATCACAACTGATAGAGGGTCATCTTTCATATCTAGAGAAATGCTGGACATGGCAGAGGCATTCAAATTCAGACTGCTCCAATCCACTCCCTATTACGCCCAAGCCAATGGACAGGCGGAGTCAAGCAACAAAGTAATCATCAATATTATCAGGAAAATGCTTGAAAAGAATCCGAAACAATGGCATGAGAAGCTGTCAGAAACTCTGTGGGCATATAGAACTTCAAAGAGAGAAGCGACTGGCATGACTCCCTATGCGTTAACCTACGGTCATGATGCAATTCTGCCTATGGAGATAGCTGTTCAGTCCCTCAGAATTGCTCACCAACATGACTTAGTAGGAGAAGACTACTCCCAGGCCATGCTGCTGGAACTGGAAGGATTGGATGCAGCCAGAATTGACACTCTCAACAAACTCCTGGCAGGAAAAACAGGCTGTATCAAGGGCCTACAACAAGAGAGTCAGGAAAAGAGTTTTGAAGAAGGGGAGATAGTCTGGAAAGCAGTTCTGCCCCTTGGAACACATGTGGCTGGTTATGGAAAATGGTCACCTACATGGGAAGGCCCTTTCATAATCAACCAGATCCTTGGAATGGGGGCATACAGGTTGCAGGATAGGGATGGAGAAATCCATACGGCCCCGATCAATGGCACATGGTTAAAAAAGTTTTATCCAACCATGTGGGATTCGTAGGCTGTACAAACAGACCCTGGGATAGACACAAGATTTAACTAAAATTTTTTTGAGTCCTTTCAAAGTTACCCTTGTTTTAGATTTACTTTCAGTCTATCCCTTTGTTGTACTCCTACTTCTGTTTTCCGTTCGTTCCATCAATAGAAATAAAATGAACTTTATTCAAAAATAAATAAACCATGGGGCCTTCCCCACGGCAAGCTGTTCAGAAAAAGCAAAGGATAACGAAATCAAAACCCTAGTTTTCTAAGAGTCTCTTGCAGGTTAGTCTTCTTGGTAGAAAGTTCCTTTTGGAGCAGCACACCCTGATGAATTGAAGCTTCTGCAATCTCCAGGGCTGGCCTAGAAGCTGCAACCATGTTCTGCACAAGGAAAGTGGCCTTGGTCTTAGAACTCAATCCAGCCCCGAGCCTGTGCTGCACTTCCCGCTCTGCCAGCTGTTTTTGAAGTTCTGCAATCTCTTTTTCCAATTTATCCCCAGCAGCTTTGGCTTCTTTATACCCCGCAACCATCTGGTCCAGTTCTGCCTTCTGCTTTGCAAAATCAGCCAAGTTGGCTTCATGAGTGGCCTTGCAGAACTCGGAGGTTTTGAAGGTAGGCTTCAGATCTTCATAACGGTCGTGAAGGGTGAGCACATCCCTCGCCAAGACAAGGCTCATCTCAAGGATAGGTCTTGGGGCCATGTTCTGTCTATGCAGCAGATCCAGATCCTTCATCAGTTGATCAAAGGCCTCTCTGTCCTCATCCAGCTCCAATTCAGCAGACTGCCAGATCTTCAGTCTCTCCATTGCTTCTTCCACTGCCCTGGACTTTATCTTACCAATAGGAGAGCTGAGCTTTTCCAACTTATCCAGCTGGGCATCTAGGTCCATGGCCTCAAATTCTGCCAGCTCCGGGTCAGCAAAAGAAGCCGTGGCAGATGAACCTGCAAGAGAATGAATAGGCATCTGCAGAAGGAAGCATAAAGTCAAGGACAGGGCAGAGACAAAAAGAAGATAGAAGTACAAAGAACACTCACAGCAACAATCGGAGGCTGCAAGGGGGTGGTCCTCACCGCCAAGGTCCCAGCAGTTCTTTGTGCTCCCACCTGTAAAGATTTGAGGGTCAGAGGGACCGAGGGACAGAACGAAACCACATGAAATGGAAAAAGACAGAATAAGGACAGAACTCCCCATAAACCCAGGAACGGCAGCAGCCACTCCTGCTACGGTTTCAGGAGCAGGAACCACTTGTTCTGCCTGATCCCCAGGCTCCGATCCGGATTGTTCCACTTGGTCCTCAGCTGCTGGAGCGGCAGTAGAATGTTCCGCCTCTGGATCGTCAAAAAGGGCCACCTCTGAGTTGGTCAGCCCTGCCCCTACGTCTTCCTGCTGCTTCTGAGCCAAGGCAATGCTCTCCGCTATCACCTCAGCAGGAATTTCCTCCTATGAATGCACAGAAGTTAGAACAGGGTAATAAGAGCACAGCAGAAACAAATACTGCCAAGTATATAAAACTCACATCTTCTTCCACTGTTTTGGCCTTCTCCTGGGGCTCCCCTCCTACCTCTTCCAGCTCCCTTTCTTGCTCCACAGCTTCGAAAGCCTCTCTCAGATCATCATCCGTGCCAGAGGTGGTGGTAGGAACTGCCCCAGTTCCCTCCGGGGCCACGTATTCCTCTACAACCTTCTTTCTAAGTCTTTTTGACTTAGTCAGAGGAGGAGAAGGACTTCCAACTGCAAACAGACAGAATAAGTCTTAAAGATTAAGACAGAACAGGATTATGAAGAACAAAAAAGGGAAACCGTCAAAGAATACCTGGAGCCACAGACTGGGCAGTCTCTTTTCTTTTTCTCTTAACAGGAGAAGTGACCTCAACAGGAGTCTGTTCTGCCTGATCCTCCTCCTCTTCTTCTTCCTCTTCTCCATCCCCGGAGGGCAGCTCCAGATCCCCAGTAGCAATAACAGAATTAACTGTGCAGAAGACAAAAGTCAAAAGTCAAATCCAGTATAGTAGCGGGAGGAACTGAACAAGTATCACAACTTACCAAACACCTCTCCACTTTTGGCTGGTTGGCTGCCTATATTCTTTGTCAAAGAAGGATCTGAGTACAGACAGAAAAGATCAGCGTCATCATTGAAAAAACAGAATGGGCAACAACAGACAGAATTGAGAGATTACCTTCTATAACTTGCATATTGACGTCTTTGATGGTCTGCACCATGAATCTGTGAGTCTCGTCGTCTGAATGGACATTCCAATTGTCCCAGCCCTTAAAAAGGACCTGAAGTGCGGTGCTGGAAGCAGGCAGATCACGGAATCTGGCTTTCCACCAGGCATCAAACTCCACAGAACTGCAGGAGTTCAATTCCCAGGAAGGATAAAGAGCATCTGCACTATTGTTGATCTTATTCACTGCACACCTGGCATCTTTGTGGACCTCCAAGTCATCTGCGTCCCTCCAAGAAGAGCCCCGATTACAGCTTCTGTATGACTTGAGGGGTATAAGCTGAGGGCAGCCAAGTTGCCTTGCACAGAAGTTGGGATGGTAGACCTCTGCCCCTAGATGATAATTTGGAGGCTTTCCTCCTCCATGAGGCAGATCTCTGGGTAAGGTCACACTTAGGAACTTCTTCCTAAAGTCAGTCCTGGCAGACTCTTCTTCTGGCTCCTTCTCGAACAGACGATGTCCAGGCTGAAACCAAGGATAGGTCCTCCTGATCACCACCTGCCACTGCGCTGCAGACCTTTTGGTACAATGCCTGAAGATCATCAGGTATTCATCAATTGATCGCTTGGGGACTTCTGCCGACAACAATGGTTGAGCCAGAACCTGATCCTCAGGCAGAACTATATCTGGAAACCTTAGCTCAGGAAAATAGACCTGCAGCCAGACCTGAATCATCTAGAAGGCACCAGGAGCAGATAGATTTAGCGGATACTCCAGGGTGGCGGTATGCAGGTTCTTGAATAGATGGGCCAGAACTGTAGGCCCGAGTCCAACATCAGTATGATTATGCAGAGCCTCTGCCAAATGTCTGTACTCAAGCAGAACTGCAGAAGAGCGATTGGGCAGAACAAACCTGTTCAGCCAATACAGGAGGAACAACATATGCTGCTGATCTTTGTCCTTCTCAGCACTAAATTTCCTGAGATAATTGGAAAAGGAGCAATTCTGGTTGATCAGGGCTGGGGAAATAGTGAATGGCTTGGCTAGCTTCTGCTGGTCCTTCTTCCTGTGATAGTCACCAACAGCATCAACAGGCCTCCCATGAGGCCTGAAGCCAAAAATCTGAGCCATATCCAGCAGAGTTGGAGCCATGGGGCCTATACGAAAATCGAAGGTGTTACTGGCAGAATTCCAGAAACACAGAGCAGCAGCAAGCAGGTTCTCATCCCTGTTGATAGATTGCTTGGATAGGAGTATGGCGTCATAAATTCCAGCCCGCTTCCAGTGAGCCCCAAATCGAGGAAGAAGTCTGTCAATCCAATCAGCCCACTTGACTGGACTGTTTCTCACTTCACTGGATGGGAACGAACGACTCAAATTCTTACTAACCCAAGAATGAGAAGCCAGAGCAGAGGAGCTCTCGAAGCATAGAGGGGCCTCAGCATCCTTCTTCATCAGCTCCGCCATCTCGGGAGGAACGGGGCCAAACCAGTGAGGCCCCAGCACCAAGGTGTTTTCGAACAGATGAAGGACGTTTTCATCTAGGTTTTTCTGGGCAAAAGGATGGAGCTTGCTCCTAACCTCTATCGCATGCTTATCAATCCCAGCCCCAGTAATGTAGTCGGGAAGAATTGGAATAGAGGAAGACTGAGCACGGGATTTCGGGGAAGACATTTCTTCGAAAGTTATTTTTTCTAAAAAGGGAGGTTCACAGGAAGGGCAAGACAGGATCGAGCAAAAGGAAGATTTCGAAGACACGACAGGAATCAAGTTTGAAAGAACTAGGTTTTTCAGATGAACAGAAACAGGGGTTTTTAAATTTCTTTTAAAGAAGCCAGAAAACGTGGGAAAGAGAAGACATCGACGTGGAGAAGACAAGGCGTCACCTGATATTGACTAGCTAATGAAAGCTAGTAACTGAAAAACTGCGCCACACGGGCACTAGCTTAGTGGGGAAGCGTGGCAGACGTGGGATAATGGAGGAGTTTACCACGTGCCAATTTAATGGCCATATCATTTAAGTCTGAAACCGTTACAAAACGATTCAGACTTAAGGGGACATTGTTTGGGCCAAAAATTGGCATACCCAGCCCAGCGAAAATTGGGCCCAGAATAAAACTACAAAAAAGAAGGATGGAAGCCCAAAAAACCAGAAGAGACCAGCCCAAGGCTCATCAGAGCAAGCAAAACTAATCTGGGCCTCACAGGCCCAAAGAAAGAAGGAGCCCAGAAGTAGGAACAATCCCACGTGACATCTCTGGAAGAAGAAAAGTCAGCAATGGCAACTGTCATAGGAGAAGTGATTGAAGGGTTCATGACATCAAGATCGATTCTGGAAAAAACTGAAGATCAAATCCCTCTTACACATATATATATATATATATACATATTCAGAGATTTTTTCTCCTGTCTTTTCAGAGAAGGTAATTCTCCCAAGGAGATAAGCAAGTTACAATCTCAGAGAGGGATAAGCAGGAAAGCAGGAAGCTGTCCAGAAAAGGAGTCAAACTAACCATCACGGGCAAAATATCGCAGGGGGCAGTTGAAATTAGGAAAGAGATTTCAAGAAAATCAGGGAAGTGATTGCCTATCTGTTGAGAACCTATCTACCAAAAACTGATGAAATCCCCTTTTTCTCTTTTCCATTTTTAAAGGAAGATCTTTTGAAAGGATTTGCCGCCCATTATTAAAAGAATTACCCTACTCCAGAAGACATTTCTTATAAATACAAGAAGGAGTGAACAGGGCAAAGGACAATCAATCTTACAACAAAAATTTCATCACTCAACCAAACAAAGGTCCTACACAGGTAAACCGTCACATAAACAAGCTCAGAGTCAACCAACAAGTCCACTTGAATTTCAAGTGAAAAACCAGCTCCAGATCAGAATGCCCAGAATCCAGATTTAGGAAGCAAGTCATTCAAAACGAGATTTCTCTCGTTACAAATTTGGTTCAGCAAAAACCAACACAAGCAGAGTTTGAATCTCCTCCAAGTATGGAAAACCCCAGCCAAATTCACGGAATAGCCTCTAGCTCACCAACGTCCTCAAGAACAGCCACTTCTGCCCTTTCAGACTGAAGAAACCGCAGTTCTGCCTACTCAGAAGCTTCACAAAAGCTTGAGGTACATTAAAGCTCTGCCAGAATCAACCTTTGGCATCGATTTGTAGTTGAAAATCGGGCAATCAGAGTTGTCTACGGTCCAGTCCAGCCCAGACATTCCCATCCAGCCCATCACAGAGCCTCCCATCCAGGCAGAAATGGAGATCTAGCTATCTTTTTATCTTTTTGGCATCGACATATATTTTTGTAGTCTTGTAAAAGGCACTTCCGCCCAAAAACAGCTTAAATTTCATCAACTATTTTGGCCAGAACAACCTCTTTATACTGAGATAAATTACTAAAGTCCTCACCAGTCTGAGGCAAGAAAAGAACTTACTTGGGAGATATTCCTCACCCAAATTCACAATCGTTTGTTTAAGAAATCAGTAACTTGGGGCGCAAGTTATCCATTCCAGACTAAGTCTGCTAGACTTTTCATTACTAGCAGTGGCACGCTCGCACACCAAAGAAAGCTGACTTGTGGACCAGTCTATGGTTCTCAAGGCAGTGGGTTTTTTTTTTTTTTTTTTTTTTTTTTTTTTTTTTTTTTTTTTTTTTTTTTTTTTTTTTTTTTTTTTTTTTTTTTTTTTTTTTTTTTTTTTTTTTTTTTTTTTTTTTTTTTTTTTTTTTTTTTTTTTTTTTTTTTTTTTTTTTTTTTTTTTTTTTTTTTTTTTTTTTTTTTTTTTTTTTTTTTTTTTTTTTTTTTTTTTTTTTTTTTTTTTTTTTTTTTTTTTTTTTTTTTTTTTTTTTTTTTTTTTTTTTTTTTTTTTTTTTTTTTTTTTTTTTTTTTTTTTTTTTTTTTTTTTTTTTTTTTTTTTTTTTTTTTTTTTTTTTTTTTTTTTTTTTTTTTTTTTTTTTTTTTTTTTTTTTTTTTTTTTTTTTTTTTTTTTTTTTTTTTTTTTTTAGCGGCTATATAAATTGAGGCTTCCCCTACCTAACAGAGGCAACTCAAATTCAGAGAGCAAGCCATCTCTCTAACTTGCTAAAACCCAGCAGCCTCGTGCACTGTTCATCTTCTTCTCCATTTTGTTCTTCTGGCAGCTGCCAGAAGAACTCTGCTCTTCATTTTCTCTTTCCTTAGCCAAATCCCTCACAAAACATCTCCTTTCTTACCTTAACACTTTCTTTTCTCATAAAGCAAGCCTAAATTCTCTATATGTGCTAAACTCATGTTGATTTTGCTCCCATACCACATGCCACTCACGCTGAGCTAAAAATATTATATGTAAGCATGCGAAAACCACCTGTAAGCAGCCATTATTTTGGTTGGTGAAGGTAACCAAAATATTTCCTAAGGCTTTGCATCCCTTTCGAAGTATTTTTGGGGCTTAATTTTCGAACTCAAACAAAGGGGACAGTCTCCTCAGTCTGCCCTTTACAGCAGCCCAGCCCATTATAGCTGCAGGAAGAAAAAGTCCCCTACAACTGGTTGCTTAGGCAGAAGTGCTACTGGCTAATCGCGTGGGACCGCTGGTAGTGGAATAGGTGGAGGTTCTGGTTGAATCTGGGGGGCCTGAACTAGTGCAAGGCCTTCTAGAGGAACTGGGTCTTCGTGTTCTTGGATGAGAAAGGCTCTTCCCCTTTGTCCAGCCTGGATTTCTCCCTCTCCTGGTACTCCAGCTATCTGTGCGATGAGAGGATTCTCTTGCTATGGCCTCGCCTATCCTGGTGGAGGTCCAAAGGGGAGGTCTAGTTGCTAGACCACAACATCTGGGTTTGGAATTCTTGCAATAGAAGCCTCATGATCCTTCCTGAACTGCCTGTTGACTTGCTAGTGCATCATGGATGTCATGTTATTTAGAGTATCCTGGCTCCTTTGGGCTGCAGCCTCTTGTCGGAGCATAGCATCCTGTATCTGGTTTATCCTTCTAGAACCAGATCTGGAACATCTACTCCTGGTGTTGCCATGGGCTGAATGCGTAGCGTCACTCTCTAATTCATGTCCTTCCTGGAGAGCTGCTTGATTTCTTTCCATGGTAAAGCGTGGATTCTGGCTAGTGCTTCCAATATTCATACACCAAGAGATATCTTCTAGGATTACGTATACTGAGAAGTCCCATTGGGCATGCCAAATTGTTCACCCATTTTTTATTTAATCCTGTGATGGTAGGGTAAAGTTCCTCATTGGCTTGACAACCATTGATGGTCAACAAGTCAACTTTCTTTTATAAGTGAACGTGCCACTGCTAGCAGTTTAAAATCCTAGCAGACTTCTAAAAAATAGATAACTTGCGCACCAAGTTACTGATTCTTAAACAAGCAATTGTGAATTTGGGTGAGGAATATCTCTCAAGTAAGTTCTTTTCTTGCCTCGGACTAGTGAGGACTACACAATTTTTCACAGTACAAAATTGGTAGTTTTGGCCAGAAAAAATAAAAAGAAGACAAACTGCTTGGGCAGAACTGCCTATTATAAGACTCAAAAGAGAAATGGAAACTCCGAAAAAAGACAACACAATGTTGGACTTCGATTTTTGCCTGGGTAGCTGCCTCTGAACCGGATTGGACTAGATGGATTTGTGCTGGATTGGCTTGTCAACACCTTCAACTAATGAGTTTCAACTAGAAATTGATACCAATGTTTGAGTTTGGCAGAGCTTTAATTTGTTTCAAGCCTTGGAAGGCTCTTTGAACGGGCAGAATTGGGGCGTCTTTAATCTGCAGGGGCAGAAGTGGCTGGATTGACGATCACTGAGCTGGAGTTGCACTATAGTGCCTGTTTTGCTTGATCAAGGATTTCTGTAAATTTGTTGAGGTTTTCATATTGTAAAAACCTGGATTCTGCTTGACTTGGCTTGTGCTGAACCAAATTTGTAATGAGAGAAATCTCGCTTTGTAAAACTGTTTCTCTGAACTGAACTGAAATAAGAAATTTGAATTCTATCTGGTTTTGTATCTTGTGGATCAAAGAGTTTTGGTTGCTTCAGTGTCTGAAGGCTTTTGAGATGAATTGATCTTTTTGATTTTTGTTAGTATGACTTTGAGAGTTTTTGTCTTGATTGATTTTTTGGCTGTCCTTTGATCTGTTCACCTCCTCTCATATTTATAGAAAATACTAGAGTGGGGTTTTTAATTTAAATATTGGGCGGTAGATCTTTCAAAAAGATCTTCCCTTTCAAATGCCACAAAAAGGGAAGTTATTATTTTGGCAGAGAAGAACCATCAGCAGTCAGTTTTCATCGTGGTCTTTTCCTTTCTTTTTCCTGAAAGAAAACCAACTGTTCTTGTTCTCTGTTTGTTCCTTGTAAAAACATAATCTGCCACGATAGTCAGTTTGCTTTTCCTGGTGAACAACTCTTTTGCTCCCTACCTATCTCTTGAGAACGTAGCCTACTTATCTCTTGGAAATATAACCTGCTTTGGTGCAAAGCTTCTTTGTATATGAAAAGGGGATTTGATCTTCTTTCCCTGGCTGTAAAAAATGGAGAAGTCCTCCTGTAAAACATGCCTTCATTAATTCCCTATCACTTCCTCTGTTTTAGTTGAGAATTTTGACTTTTCAAAGTCAGGAAGTCATGTGGGGCTCTTTTGAGAAAGCATTCTTTAGTAAAAAAGATCTGATGACTCGCTTTTGGGATTGAGATCAAGTGATGAAAATTTTTCAGAAGCTGGGTTTAATCCAATTCTTATAGGTTTTCGACCTGCTTGGTATTAAGTTACCATTAAATGGTAATCTTATTTGTTATTTTCATGTTTTTTTAAACCTCTGCCACTTTTTGCAAAAAAACATGGGCTTCTAAAGTCGCGTGGGTTGTTTTCTGGAGATAAGGCCCATCTTCTGTTTTTTCTATTATGGGCCGGTTTTCAATTTGGCTGGCGTGTGGAATTTTTAGGCCCAAACAGATACCCATTGTACGTTTTTTACTCTGTACGAAGAACTATGATGCCTTTTTTTAGATCATAGGAGGACTTCTTTGATAGTACCTTCGTAGTGATGGGATGTTGTTTTAAGGGTGTTGTGGTTTGGGGTTTAGGTTGGTTTGTTTCGTATAAATTGTTTGACTCTTCTGTTTAGTCAATGGCATGGGTGGTACTCTTTCCTACCTTGGGATTTTGTTTCTCTAGGAAGGTTTTAACAAGGCCGCCGTTAACATGGTAGTTCTTACCATGTAATGTTCCTTTCGATTTAATGAAATACCATCTTTTCTCAACAACAAAAAAAACTGTTAGAAGCCAAAAAAACAAAGAGGGAAACAAGTAAACAAAAAAAAAATCCAAAAAAAAGTTCATATACTATTCAGTACCAATCAAGTTTGTAGGATCAGCCTAGATCATTTTCAAAGAAAATAAAAAGCAATATAAAGAATATTACTAGAAAACAGGAAAGGTAAGTATAAACGATATACCTTCTAGAGAAACGAAATGGGGAAAGTATTCCAGAAGTGTCTCTGTTCTTTTGGTGTTTTTGCCATTCTCTCCCTCAGTCTCTCTCTCTCTCTCTCTCTCTCTCTCAACGGAGGGTTACTGCACTATCAAGTGTAGGGAGAGGGACAGGGCACTCAATGCATACAACCAAATATATAGAAGAAAACTGAACCGTCTACAATAAATGCTCATATTTTTTGAATTTCCGGTTTCTATTTTTTATCATTTAAATGGTTTAGACAAATTTGAATATTACGAACATTTTTATCATTGATCTTTTTCTACTATTATATAGAGAAATATTTCTCTAAAAAATATTATACAGGGAAATATACCAAAGTGTAACCCATCACATTATCTTATATTGGGACTGTCTTGAATTGACTTGGCATGTCATAAGTTGGATAACATTTGTACTGTGTTTAGTGTATGTTTGATTGGACTAGGACTAAATTTTAAAAAAAAAAAAAAAAAAAAAAAAATGTTGAAAAATTTAAGTAAATTCTTTTTTTGAAAAGTAAGTTTTTTTAATTTTTTAATTTTTTACTTTTCTTCTTTCTCTTTCCCCTTCTTCCTCTTCTTCCTAGTATTTCTCTCTGCTTCTCTTTCTTCCTCTATGCATCTCTTTCATCTTCTTCTTCTCCATCCTCTCTCCTCTTCTTTTGTCTACTTTTCTCTTTATTTTTTTTTCAAAAATTTTCTTTTCTCTTTCTCTTTTATTCCTCTTCTATTCTATCTTCTTCTCTCTTTTTTTCGAAATTTTTGTGTTCTTCCTCTTCTATTTTGTCTTCTCCTTCTTAGGTGGTTGTGGTTGGTGGTCGGGTTTGGTGGTCGTGGCTGGTGGTTGTTGTACAAATAGCAACCTAAAAATTAAGCAACTATATGCACGTTTTAACTCGCAAGTGCACAAGATCAGACAAATAGTATAGAAAGCAAATATGAGATCATTCCCACAAGGATTTGACTAATATGTGTTTAAAATTAATTTCCTAGAACTACTAACTAAATGGCACAACTAAGAATGCAAAAGTGAAAGAAAACCCTAAAAAAAAAACTTATTTCAAAACCCTAAGATTTCTAATCAAAGTTAAGCAATACACAAAGGCACTCGGTGTAGACAAGGTGTTAAAAAGGACGATTTTAAGATGATTTTGAAAACTGAAAATTTTGAAATAAAATATTAAAAACAGAATTGGTTAAGGTTAAAACAATGAGAAAACCAGTTAGGGATTCGATGTTCACCGCTAATCTTCTTCCTTAATCAGACGACATGCACAATGCTACAAAACAGATTTTAGATGCTCATGTTTGTCAATCTAAAGGCATGATATCTACTCTTTAAATTATTGATTTCCCTAAGCAACAAGTTAGGCATGGGTATCTACACTAACTTTTTCATTCTTAAAGTGTTTAGCATTGTATCTACTAAGTTGTACTTTAAGAACGCATAAGACAATGGAAACCGACAAACACACAACTCCTAGAACATGGTATCTATTCTAGTTATTCATGATGATTAATTTCAAGAACTTATAACCAGTTCTTTTATTACTCTCTGACAGGCGCAAGACTCGGCCATCTAAATTTACCTATGTAACGAACTCAATACACAACATGCATATGGTGATCAAGCATAACATAACGTATGTAAAGAGTAAAATATAATATGAAATTAATCAATTAAGCATCACAAAAGTAGTTTACAGCAAAGGCATATCGAAATCCTTAAAGAAACATGATTAGGGCTTCAATCAAGCCCTAACTAAAATACTTAGTTACCCATAATTTAAATAGACAGCAAGAACATACAAAACAGAAAATAAAAAGAGGAAGAATATAGCTCTTTGATGATGTGTTGGTCAGCCAGAGTGATTGGATGATGCCTTGACGTTTCTCCTTGCTTCCTACGCCTTTTAGACCTTGGAACCTTGAAGGATGGAAGAGAATGGGATGGTGTGGCTGCCCTCTTCTTCTCCTTTGTTTTTTCTATTTTTAAGACTCCAAAATCAGCTCCTTACTCGCACAACAGCTGCCTTTTCTCTTTCTTCTAAAAAAATAAGTTTTTGCTGCTTGTATTAGTCAAACAATATGGGTAGAATATTTTTCAGATTTATTTCATTCTCCGAAAGGAGGTATTTATAATACAAGGTTACAAACCCTAGCAGGGTTATACTAGGAAATAAGAAAAGTCCTAATTACATAATAACTATACAAAAAGGAAATAAATAAAATCCTAATAGAATAAGAAAGAAATATCCTAATAAGACTAGGATCTCGCTAACACTCCCCCTCAAGTTGGGGCAAAGATGTCACACATGCCCAACTTGTCAAGAGAGTTGAGAAAGACCGTAGTAGACACAGCTTTCGTAAGAACATCTGCCAGTTGGTACTCGGATGATATAAACGGAAAAGAAATAATTTCAGCATCTAACTTCTCTTTAACAAAATGTCGATCAACCTCCACGTGCTTTGTATGATCATGTTGCACAGGGTTATCCGCAATTGCAATTGCAGCTTTATTATCACAATACAGATCCATGGGTTTCTGGGGTCCAAACCCAAGATCTCTCAACAATCTTCTCAACCATAGTAACTCGCACACACCTTGAGCCATCCCACAGTACTCTGCCTCGGCACTAGATCTAGACACCACTTTTTGCTTTTTACTCCTCCAAGTAACAAGATTACCACCAACAAATGTGAAATACCCAGACGTAGAACGTCTATCAGTGACTGAACCAGCCCAATCAGCATCCGTATACCCTTCCACATCTATATGACCATAATTGCAAAACATTAACCCTTTCCAGGAGTTACTTTCAGATACCTCAAGATGCGCATCACAGCACCCATATGATCTTCACTAGGAGAATGCATAAACTGACTCACTACACTCACTGCATATGCAATATCAGGACGTGTATGAGATAAATAAATCAATTTCCCCACAATTCGTTGATAACGCTCTTTATCTGTAGGGACTTGATCAGGATACAACCCCAACTTATGATTCTGTTCACTAGGTGTATCAATTGGTTTACAATCTAACATTCCAGTCTCTGCAAGTAAATCCAAAATATATTTTCTTTGAGACCGAAAAATACCATGTTTAGATCTAGCAACTTAAATCCCAAGAAAGTACTTCAAATCACCCAATGACTTCATCTCAAACTCGGAAGCCAGATACTTCTGAAGATTTTGCATTTCTGCCTGATCATCTCCAGTTACAATCATTTCATCAACATAAATAATTAAAGCTGTCAATTTACCTTTACGACGCTTTAGAAACAAAGTATGGTCTGAGTTACTCTGTACATACCCAAATTTCTTCATAGATGCTGCAAATCTCCCAAACCACACTCTTGGGGACTGCTTCAATCCATATAAAGACTTCCGTAGCTTACACACAACACCCTTCTTAGAGGTTACAGGAATACCAGGAGGGAGATGCATTTTTGAGGTCACCATGTAAATCTCCTCTTTGAGGTCACCATGCAGAAATGCATTTTTGACATCGAATTGTAATAAGGGCCAGTCGCAGTTATCAGCCAAGGACAATAGTACACGCACAGTATTGAGCTTTGCCACTGGAGCAAAGGTCTGAGTATAACCCTTTGCTACCAATCTAGCCTTGTAACGGTCAATGGAACCATCAGCTTTATGCTTCAAAGTAAACACCCATCTGCATCCAACAGCTTTCTTCCATCGTGGCAAAGGAACTAAATCCCATGTTTTATTCTTGTTCAAGGCATCCATCCATTTTGGGTGAGATAAAGCATCCTGCAGCTTAGTTGGCACACATACACTAGATAATTGACACAAATATGATGCATATGACTTAGACAAACGATGAGTTGACACAAAATGGCTAATGGGATACTTAGACTTGGCATGTATATCAGGAGAATATTGTACTTTAGGTTTCCCACGAGTGGTTCGTGGGGGTAACTGATAAGTTGACACAGGTAGATCATTAGAAATTACCTCACTTGATTCACTATCACGAGTAGATTGGGGCAATAGCAGGGCAGATGGTGGTATTACATTGAACTCATCCATACAAGAATCACTGTCATTATTTTCAGATACAGGCGACTGGTCACTTGCTTTAGTGACACCGAGAGCACCTACTTCATCTCCAGATATGGGCAAATGATCGAGTTCCAAAGGGCGATCAGTAGTTTCTTCATAGGGACCACAAGTTTCATCTTCAGATATGGGTGACCGGTCACTTGCTTCAGTGCGACAGGTCGTTTCCTTCCCAAGAGAAGCATCTTCAAACACATCATTCTCCAATCCAAGACTCTCCAATTCACTCCCCCTCCCCCTGAATTGGAGAGGAGGGAGATACATAATAGGGCACTTCTTCATGAAAATTCACGTCCAAAGTAACATGCACCTTCTAGGTAGGTGGATGATAGCACTTATAACCTTTCTGAGTATACGAGTAACCAATAAAAACACATCGCAGAGCACAAGGATCAAGTTTACTCCGTTGATGAGAGTAGACATGAACATAGGCAACAAACCCAAAGACTTTAGGGGGCAACTTGGAGACTGAGACAGGGGAAACATGGTCACCAAACACATCATGTGGAGTCTTGAAATCAAGAACCCGGCTAGGAGTACGATTAATCAAATAGGCAGCAGATAAAACAGCATACCCCCAAAGATGATGGGGAACAGACATGTCCAACATAAGGGAGCGGGCAACTTCAAGTAACTGATGATTCTTGCATTCAGACACACCATTCTGCTGAGGAGTAAATGGGGTTGTCGTTTGGTGAATAATACCTTGAGCAAGGAAGAAAGATGCCAAAGTGTTATTCACATATTCACCTCCGTTATCAGTCCGGAATACTTTGACCTGAGCATTAAACTGAGTAGACACCATAGTACATAACTCTGGAAGGATGGAAGCAACATCATGTATATTTTTCAGCAAGAAAACCCAAGTGAGTCGGGTACAATCATCAATAAATGTGACGAACCAACGAAATCCGTTCGAAGTAACGCGAGCCAAACCCCACACATCAGAATGCACTAAATCAAAAGGCTTTGCAGCTTTATTGTCACTCAAAGGAAACACAGTGCGATGACTCTTGGCCAAAATACATGTCTCACACTTAAAACTTGACTCATCACAAGAGCGGAATAAAGATGGAAACAGACGCTTAAGGTAGCCAAATGATGGGTGTCCCAAGCGACGATGCCATAACCAAATTTGTTGTTTGTCTTTGACACTGCAACTTTGAACAGTATTAACGACACGATTACAAACTGGTGCAGAAGGCAATGTCAAATAATATAACCCCCCCTATCCGTTTACCATGCCCGATCGTCTCGTGAGTCTTGAGATCTTGAAAAGAGCAATGCGTAGGATAGAAAGTAGCAGAAGCATTAAGTGTATCAAGTAATCGACCAACAGATAACAAGTTACAATGGATATTGGGAACTAGTAATGCACGAGACAAGGACAGAGTAGGAGTGAGAGAGATTGTGCCCTCACCAGTAATTGGAGAGGGCAAGCCATTAGCACTAGTTATGTATGGGTCACGGGTGTTACTAGACAACTCATCAAAAATTTAGCATCATAAGTCATATGATCAGAAGCACCAGTGTCAATTATCCAAGTATTGGAGCCAGTACCTGGAATAGAATCAGAGACACACAAATTTGTAGAGGCAGCAGCAACAACACCAACAATGGAGTTATCACCCATGATTGCAGCAGAAATTCAACAGATTACGGTAGAGTATACGGCAGAATATAGCAGAGGCACAAATACAGCAGATGCACGAAGACAGAAATGACACGAACACAGTAGATGCACGAACACTACAACACGACACGCAAACCCAGGAGGGCACACACGGCACAGGTAGAGAAAAAAAAATGGTGATAGAACACGGGTGGGCACAACACACAGGTCACCAGAAAAGTAGGCTCTGATGCCAAGTCAAACAATATGGGTAGAATATTTTTCAGATTTATTTCATTCTCCGAAAGGAGGTATTTATAATACAAGGTTACAAACCCTAGCAGGGTTATACTAGGAAATAAGAAAAGTCCTAATTACATAATAACTATACAAAAAGGAAATAAATAAAATCCTAATAGAATAAGAAAGAAATATCCTAATAAGATTAGGATCTCGCTAACATTATTCTCCACGTTTCTCAAACCTGACATATTTTTTATTCAGACATATAAACCCCTGGGAAATAGGAATATTCCTCATTGGCCCAATTGATGTGATTTGGGCCTCAAAACTTGGACTTCAGAAAAGATTGCAGATTCTCGCACAGCCGAACTACCTGTACTAAAACCACCATAACTTCCTCTAGAAAAATGATATTCACGAACCGTAAAATTCCCCAGAAAATACACATCCGTAGCTTTCGAAGAATATGTGGCTCGGCTTTTGGTTCTTCCTGAGTCAGTACAGTATAATCCGTGAACTTGACTGATCTGCACAGGCCTTTCAAACTCAACATTCTCTTTTTAGCTCATTTTCCACCATTCGCTTGTGATTACCTAAAAAAGTAATACAAGAGTGTAAAACCTATATAAAAGAGTAAAACAAAGGCGTAAACATGGAGAAATATCATATATAAATGTCGAATATTTGAGCACATCATTGGTTGTGGTTGCCGCTTGAGGGGTCGCTAGTTGTGGGTGTTGGAAATTTGAAAGCAAATGTCCCACATTGGAGAAAACAAAAGGTTCCACATGCTTTATAAGCATGAAACCATGACACCAATTAAATAAGATTGGTGGGCTTGGTAGTGAAGGCTATCATGGTTGGCTTGCTTGATTAATAATAATATCTAAATAATCAAGACTTGGGGGCTCTGAAAAATAAAAGAAATACACCCAGCCCGAAAATAAAATAAATATTTTTATTTTTATTTTTTCGGATTTCTTTTAGCAGCAGTTAAATTCAAACAAAAAAGACTTATCTTTCTGTTTGAATTTGAACAAGTATAACTGATACTAACTGCTATTTTGAAGGGGTGCAGTTCTATTATAAAACCACAAGTCCTAGGTCATAATACGATCATCTTTCTCTGAACTATTTAATATTGTTTAAAACTACATACTGTATTCGAGAGAAGCACACCAATGTTCGCCAGAATTCAAGGATCCGGTGCTGGACCCTTGAATTACAGATAGTTGAATCCTGGGAGATAGACGCTTGTTGAACTTCAAGCACTCGGAAGAGGCGAAATTCTGTCTTTAGAACACTGCGAATATGCAAGCCTCTATCTTCAATAAAAGTCGGTATTTAGGACTTCATTTATATCTGCACGTTTATACAGTTTTCATATTTTGTTACTGTCTACATTTTAGAGTTGTGTATTAATATAGTGATCCTATAGTACATAACATTTACTAATTTTTCCTAACAGTGGGAGCTCTTGGGGTCTCTGAAAAATAAAAGAAATACACCCAGCCCGAAAATAAAATAAATATTTTTATTTTTATTTTTCAGATTTCTTTTAGCAGGAGTTAAATTCAAACCAAAAAGACTTATCTTTCTGTTTGAATTTGAACAGGTATAACTGATACTAACTGCTATTTTGAAGGGGTTCAGTTCTGTTATAAAACCACAAGTCCTAGGCCATAATACGATCATCTTTCTCTGAACTATTTCATATTGTTTAAAACTACATACTGTATTGGAGAGAAGCACACCAACGTTCGCCAGAATTCAAGGATCCAATGCTGGACCCATGAATTACAGATAGTTGAGATTGGCTATCTCATCTGATGGATTCAATCCCCACAGTTCTCGAAGTACCAAATATAGTTGCTGGCCAGTTATCTTAGTTATATATAATCTCCCACCATGGCTATGCATGAAACGAAAGTTCATGATGTTGACCTTATTGATTTCCGGTCCGAAACAACCCAGAAATGATATAGACGTCTACTTAGAGCCTTTGATTGCTAATTTAAAATCTTTGTGGGATGGGATTAAAGTAGTGTATGATGCTCATATAGGAGAATACTTTACACTAAGAGCTGCATTACTGTGGACAATTAATGATTTTCCAAATTATGGAAACTTATTTGGTTGTATCGTAAAAGGATATAAAGCTTGTCCAATATGCGGTGATGAGACACCTAGTCACAGGTTGAAAAATGGCCACAAAATATGTTACATCGGGCATAGAAAATGGTTACCAATATATCATCCATATCGGAGGCAACGTGCAGTTTTTAATGGGAAACCTGAATATGACACGCCTCTAAAGCCATTAACCGGAGAAGAAGTGTTACAAATGGTTGAAGGTATTAATTATAAATGGGGCTTAAAAAAAGGTGGAGGTGGAAGTGAAAATGATGGTGACAGAGTTTGTTGGAAGAAGAAATCAAAATTCTTTTATCTCGAGTACTGGAAATACATTTTTGTGAGGCATGCCCTTGATGTTATGCACATCGAGAAAAATGTTTGCGATAGTATCATTGGTACGTTGTTGGAGATCCCTGGAAAAAATAAAGATGAGATTGCTGCTCGTTTGGATTTATTGAACACGGAGGTCAAGACTGATTTGCAACCCGAGTATGGAGAAAGACGTACTCGCTTACCTCTAGGGCCTTGAAATTTGTCAATAGCAGAGAAGAGAGAGGTTTGCAATTATTTCTATGGTATGAAGGTCCCTCAAGGTTACTATTCAAATATTAAAAATCTTGTATCTTTAAAAGATTCAAGACTTCTTGGGCTCACATGATTGTCATACCTTGATGCAACAATTGCTCCCTGTGGCAATTCGTTATGTCCTAGAGAAGCCTGCAAGGTATGCAATAAATCGATTGTGCTTCTTCTTCAATGTTATATGTGCAAAGACGGTAGATGTTTCCAAGCTAGATAAGTTGGAAGAAGATGTAATAGTAACTTTGTGTTTGCTTGAGAAGTACTTTCTCCCTTCATTCTTCGATATCATGGTTCATCCAGTAGTACATCTTGTCAGAGAAGTTAGTCTATGTGGGCTAGTTTATTTTAGATGGATGTATCCGTTCAAAATATATATGAAAGTGCTAAAGGGGTATGTTCAGAACCGTAATCATCCTGAAAGTTGCATTGCTGAGCTGTATATAGCTGAAAAAGCTGTAGAGTTTTGCACCGAGCATTTATCTGATGTTAGTACAGTTGGGGTGCCATCAAGCCAGAAGATGGGACTTTCAAAGCCCTTATCAGGTTGCATAGTGAGTTTAGTTTATCGGAACTTGTTGAATCAGGCACATCTATATCTCTTGGAGAATACGGAGGAAGTTCTACCTTATATCGAGTATGGGTTTTATTCTTAAGTAGTCATTTTAAATTATATTCCTTATGTTTATCTGATATGTTTGAGACTGTAATGCTTGAATTTTTCGTGTTATGTAGAGAACATATGATCCACATCAAGACCACTTATCCAATATTTAGAAAGAGAATAAAGTGGCTACAAGATAAGCACATTACCACTTTCATTCAATGGCTACGCTTTAAGGTATATGAAATTGAATAACATATTGCACTTTTAATTTTCTTCTTTTTATGTTAGATTGAATTAAGATATGATTCATTTGCATGTTCAAAGTCAACTTAATGGGGAAGACAATAATGGTGTATCAGAAAATTTGGGGTGACTCGCAGCTGGTCCAAGCATGGCAGTGCCATCATATAGGAGCTATCTTATCAAAGGTATTAAATTTAACACCAAGGCACAAGATGACTTGTTGTGAAATTATTGCAAGCGCACAATCCATACAAGTAATATAGAAATAAGTAGAGTGTCGTTCCCATGAAGACTGTAATTTCCTATTAACTACCAATTATGATTAATTCAGAAGTTTATTTGAATAGATGATTAAGAAGATTGATTGATTTAAGTAAACTAAAACAATTATGAAAAATAGAAATTTAATTAATGATAGAAAATCAAGATGATGAGACACTAGAGCATCCGATTTCACCATAACCAATTCCACTTAATTCTTATAGCCAATTAACCCTAATTACTACCCATGTTGACAGTTGGTTTCTCCTAATTCATTCGATATCCCCTCTCGGGCTTAACCAAAAGTATTCTTAATTAACAATCCATTCTCTCTCGAGCAACGGATTTAGAAAATCAAGAACCCATTAAGTTCTATGAGAACCTGCAAGAAAACTGCATGAGTCATGTTAGTCCCTCTCGGGCACTCATTCAAGACATGGTATCTGTTATAAGAAGCAAACACCAAACATCTCCTCTCGGTCTCCATTTGGATCATCAAATCAATTAAATATTGGCCAGATATTCAAACCATTAAGAACAATAACAAATACTCAACATGGAATAGTAATCAAAAATTAATATAACTATAAAAATTAAGTATTCATGGTTAGGCTACATCGTAGCCCTAGCAAGGAAAATTAGTTCATGACAAAAGAAAAGATAAATAAGAGAATTGTTGTCATAAAACCGATTTGGCCGATGGATTTGATCTCTGGATTCTCCACAGCAATAGAACAAATTCTTGGCTCTCTTTCTGATATATTTGTGGCTGTATGAAAGTTGTATATGGGAAGATGATGGTGGAAAAACATGATCGTATGAAGATATCCTAGGGTGACCTTATATAGTATAAAACAACTAAACCCTACTTCAAAAAGGTCTAGAAAAACTCTCCTAAAGCAAAACAAAATCTCAAACAATTAAGGAAACAAACTAGGAAAGAATCCTTCTTTGACTTGGAAACACGTCAACTAATTTGCACGCACGTTTTGAGGTCGTTCCACTTCCTAGAAAATTCTGGAAAAATATGATAAAAGTAGGTTTATCTCTAAGCTTTCCAAGCATATATTACATGCCACTATGAAAAATCGGAAAAATATTCAAATCTTCAATCTTCCACAGCAGTGCAGTTCTGACGGGATTTCAACTTAGGCTGTCTTGACTTGCAGGTCTGGAGCATTTGGCTTGGTAGAAAATTATGAAACTTTGATACAATGATCTTCAATGTCTTAGCTTTCTTCTAGAATTGGCCTTGCACTAAAATGCATTCGAAAAGTCAATTTTCAGTTGAAATCCTTCCAAGAGCGCAGAATAGCTGAAAATAAGGAAAGTAAAGTAATAATACTCTTTTTAATTAACTTTCCCTACAAAACCTACATATAAAAGGTATAAAAATATAGGAAATAATACACTTATCAATGATGTGCGTGCAGTTCAAAATAGTGGAGTTTATTTACTTGCACATACTACGAAAGTTGCTAGTGCTAAGGATAAGAACCTAATTGTCTCAAATATGGGTTTTTATGGTGTCATTCAAGATATTTGGGACCTTGATTACAAAAAGTTTACAATCACAGTGTTTAGGTGTGATTGGATAGATAGCACTTCTGGCCTTGTAGTCGACGAACTTGGATTTACCCTTGTAGATCTGAGTAAAATTGGACATAGCAATGACCAATTTGTTATGGTTTCTCAAATCAAACAAGTATTTTTTGTTGACAATCCAATGCATCATGGTTGGTCAGTAGTGTTATCAATGCCTAATAGAGAATATGTTGATGTTATTGGTGATGATGTCTTAGGTGATATGAGAATTGAGTGTGAGCCATTTACTAGAGGGATGCCAAATGTTGACACATTTGATGAACTAGCCGGTGAGTTTAGGAGTCAAAATATTCGAGATGGGTGTGAAGATATATGGATTAAATGATGCTTGTAATTTATGACATTACTTACGCCCTAAATGGCTGTGTATGACATTAATTTTGTAAGAAATTGTATTGGATTTTTTTCACTTTCATTATACAGGGTTTGGACTCAAAGCTTTCAGTACAAAAAATCTAGTTCAAGTACCAAAATACGACGGTCCTGTTAACATTATTGCAAAAACATACGTCATAATGGTATCAGACATCGTTTTTTATCATACGTCATGCAATGGAAGACCTTAAAACCTATAAATAAATAATAATAATAATAAAAAGATAAAAATGCTAAAGACGTCGGTTTAAAAAAATGGACATTAAAAAGGTCGTACGTCTCCAATGAGACGGCCTCGATGTACTTACCGCCGTCTAAAACATAACTCAAAAGACTGCATATAATAATAAAACGACGACGGTAATGAAAAGCCGTTGTTACAGGATATCACGACGGGAAGGCAAAAAGTGACGACATTTAAAAGAAGATAAAACGACCTCGTAATAAATATACCGTCGTCTTACTTCACAAGCACGAGGATACACTCTTATTACGAAACGTCTTTACAATATACCACGTCAATTTATGTTTTTAGGACTTGGTGAGAAAATGAATTACGACATCTTTATAAATAAAAATGGCGTAGAAAATGGTAACCACGTCGCCTTTTATATGATTACCAATGTTGTAAGTACTTTTATCCGTCATCATTTAAAATAAAGGAGATGTAAAACCTCGTTCTTCCCATATTTGCTGCCGTCATTAATTGTTTCCACATCTCCCTGGTGACTATGTGTCGTGCAATACTACACAAAAATGTCATCTGTAAAAACAAAGATGACGTAGTAGAGCGTAACCACATCGTTTTTGATAGGTTATGCGACGTTTGTGTTGGTTGCGCAAATCTCACGGCCTGGTGCTCCGAGCCGAGGGGATGTGCGTCAACACGTGACGTCCTTTTTTTGGATGCGGTGCGGTTGTGCACGGGCGTGCCAGCACGGTCTACCGTGCGTCGAGATGGTGATGAGGTTTGGGTAGAAGATGGTTAAATGATGCGCCTGTTTTGCGTTCGACTCCATATCAAACGATTGTGGCCGAGAGAGGAACTAATCTCGGCCGTCAGGTTCACGACCTGAGCTACAAGGCCATTTTAGTGGTGGTGTTGGTGGTGGGTTTTAGGCGGTGCTCCAGCGCGTTGCTCAGAGAGCGACAGTCGTATGATATATGGGGTGAGTGAGATGATAACAGAGATGGTGCTCCAGCGCCTTGAAAATCAAGGGTCGTATGATATATTGATGAATGGATTTTCCTTACAATCTACCACTACTCCTAGGAAAGCAAATAAAGGTATTGAAAGTGCATTACAGGAAAATATAATTTGCTCTGTGGGAGGCTTTTGGTTTGGTGTCTGAACCCCTTGAATGTAGTCCTGAGCTTAGTATTTATAGGAGGAGTCCTAGGGGGACAATCGAGGCTGAAAAGACCTGCGTGGTGGAGCCTGATTGGGGCAAGTGAGTAGTCAAATTTGCATTTGGGATCGTGAAGCATGGTGGTGTGACCCCCATAAATCCCGATAAATCTCGGCCACCGCCCTGATCGTGAGTTCTGCCCCCTTGGCCGTGGGAACGCATTTAATGTCTTGGTCTGGTGGTTGGTGATCTGACCTTAAGTCGTAAGACTACTTGTGAGAATGTCTGCGCCTAACCACTCTGATTTCCATCACCAAATCCTGACTTCAGTCACTTCCCTTCTTCCCTTGTGCATTAAACGCTTCTTGCGACTAGTGGGTTTGCTGCGATAGTCAGAGGCATTACTTCATTAAATGGGGCGTGGGACCCCGAGGCCATGTGGCGATTTAACCACAGTATCTTCAGTCGTGTCTTTTACTGCCTTCGGCTTCGGCCTATAATACTGTGGTTGCGAGGCCGAGAGGATTCTGCCTTTGTAGCTTTTCTTTTGTTTTCAGGGAGGCGAAATGCCTAACAAAACGGTAGGTGCCGGGACCGAGAGGAAGTCCCTTCAATCAGTTTATGACCGTGATTTATTAGGCACAAACAGTTTGTATCATGACAAACAACACGGTGTTTATAATAATTGTCGTTGTAAATCACATTTCACCGTCATAGTTTAAAGTAAAAGAGACGTACGAACCTGTTTATTCCCATATTTACTGACGCCATTAACATTTTTCACGTCTACTTTTTGACCATGTGTCGTGAAATGTACTAAAACAACGTTTCCTGTGGAAAAAAAGGTGTCATGGTATGTTTTCCTAACGTCTTCTCTGATATACTAATAGACGTGTGTACATCATTTAATACGTCAACTTCTGAGTTAAGACTGACTGTGTACAACATTTTCAACGTCATATCTGGAAACAAAAGTGACGTAATATATCATCATGTGTCGTGGAATGTCTTTATCAACGGCGTGCTTGACAGGACCCACCCCGGATTTCCTCGGAAACCGGGGCATCCTTGACGGGATGTTGCTGTAGACCCTTGATTGGATGGTCTGCGCGCGTAGGACTGGTCACAGACGTACGAGCTTTGAGTGTCTCGGTTGTACGTGCTGGCTGAGAGTTAGTCCCCCCGTTGGACGGCACGCTCCCTAGCCACATGGTGAATTGAGGAATTTTTGTTATGTGGACTAGTCAAACAATCCCCCGGTTGGATTGTGTTCCCCGGTACAACTAGGTGTTGGTTATATTATATTATATACATATATTAGTATATTATATATTATTATGTATGTATATATATAACTACTCATTCGTTCTTGTTTCTCGGTGAGGATACTTCCTCGCTGGTCGTGCCAATGGGTGCGCTTTCGAAAGTTTAGTCGTGGGATTTATAAGTTTTGAATGGTGGTTTGTGAAGTATTATTAATGGATTTCAGACTTGGCATCCGGTACTTGTTTTGATTTGATACATTTATATACTTGATTATGATGGTTTTGGGATGCATTTGGATTTCTTGCATGGTTTTCTAAAGGTGGGGTTATATTATGTTGGTTTACACTGAACTAAACTTTATTTTTGTCCACTCACAATTTTCTATTTTGCGCCCCCCCCAGCCAGTAGTTGACTGAGCTCCGCAGCTGAGCCGGATCGTGTGCTTCCGAATCTTGAGCCTTCGTAGGAACTCTTTCATCATTTCATTCTAGTTGAACTTTGTTCTTGTTGTAACTGAAATTCGTAGACATGCTTTGTTATCACCCGCATAGGGTTTGATTTATGAGGTCGGAGGCCTTTGTTGTAAACTGTTTATTTGCTTTTAAGCATGTTGCTGGTTGGGATTGTTAAATTGTGAATTTTGAGCAGGTTGAAGTTTGGGAATTGTTCACTTTACAGGGGAGACTCTGCCAAATTTTTGGTAGAAAGTCTTTACTCTTAGTAAGTGGGCCCGGCATCGGGGTGATGTCGGTATTAAGGCGGGATCCATCCCAGTTTTCGAGGAAATCCGGGGTGGGTCCTGTCAGCTTGGTATCAGAGCATTTGGTTCACTTTCCTTCGGCTTTCGCGCTTTTGATGCTTGGTTAAAACTAATGATTCTATGGTTTCCTTGTGTAGAATCATGCATCCACGACGTCCTAGGCCGACGGGTGGTCGTATTTCGAGATGGGGAGCAAACCCTCCACCTCCATCTCCACCACCTTCTCCACCTCCATCACCTCCACCTCCACCCTCTCCACCTGCCGAAGAGCGAGATGGAGGAAATGAGCTCGACTTGCGACACCTCTTATCTTAGTTCACTCAAACTGTGTCTACCTCCTTACAAGGGAGACGGAATACTGAAGGCTCTGACATAAAGAGGGTTAAGGAATTGGGGGCAAATGAGTTTCATGGTAGTGCTGATCCTGCTGAGGCTGATGTTTGGCTTACGGATGTCGAGTGGGTATTTGAAGTTCTCCAGTGCCCTTATGGAGATAGGGTTCGGTTGGCCGCCTTCCTTCTTAAGGGAAATGCCTGTCACTGGTGGAAGACTGTCCGCAGAGGGTATGCTAACCCTGCTGCCATTACTTGGGATGAGTTTCAGAGGATGTTCTTTGATAAGTTCTACCCGCATTCTTACAAGAATGCGAAGAAGTCCGAGTTTCTGTATCTGAGGTAGGGTTCCATGTCAGTGTTTGAGTATGAGCACAATTTTAATGATCTATCCAGGTTTGCACCTGAGTTGGTAACCACAGAGGAAGACAAGTGCACGCGTTTTGAAGAAGGTCTGTGGTTAGATATCCAGGCTGTGGTCACTGCCACTACATATCCTACCATAAGAGCCTTGGCCCAAGCAACGGATAGGGTGGCCAAGAAGTACAGTATGGGTGCAGGTATTGGTAGGCGCCGCAGGGACTCATCAGGCTTTGGTGGGCCAAGTCAGGGTCCATCAAAGAGGGGTGGATCCAGTTCTAGTTCTGCTGGTAGTAGTTGGTCAGGAGGACGTGGGTCCAGTTCTGGCAGGGGGAGGTCTGGCTCTTGACCAACTTGGAGCCAGCACTCGGGACAACAGTCGATGGCTAGTACAACAAGGGACTCTTTGCGGCAGTTTAGTGGAACCTGTCACAACTGTGGGCAAGCAGGTCACGTCAGGAAGGATTGCCCACAATGTGGGCAGACTAGTGGCCCTACCCAGAGGAGTGGAGTGACATGTTTCCATTGTGGGCAGGCAGGGCACTATAGGAGTAAGTGCCCTCTTCTTACTGTTGGTGGTACTACTGGAAAGGAGACTAGGGCCCAACAGGGGCAAGGTAGTAGAGGACAGGGTCAGACACAGAGTGGTGTTGCCTCGTCTGCAGCAAGTTCATCATCAAGCAGTGGAGTGCAGTCCACTGTTCGGGGCAGAAGTGGTAGGGGTCAGAGGGGTCAGTCTGGGCGTGCTACTATTCAGGCTCACATTTTCTCGATGACTCAGCAGGAGGCCCAGGCCACACCCGATGTTATCACTGGTATGATCCCTATTTTTGGTTATTGTGCACGTGTTCTGATTGATCCCGAGGCCACACATTTTTCATTGCACATAGTTTCTTACCATATGCCAGTGTTAAACCGACACCCATGGCAAGAAGTTTTAGTATCTCTTTGCCTACGGGCGATGTTCTGTTTGCGGACATGGTTTTCAGGGGTTGTTATGTCCAAGTGGGTGATGCAATGTTGGAAGCCGATTTGATTCCCTTGGACTTGGTTGACCTTGACATAATTTTGGGAATGGATTGGTTGGAGAGACACCGGGCATCGGTGGATTGTTTTCGAAAAGAGGTCGTACTTAGAAGTCCGGGACAACCTGAAGTAGTATTCCGTGGAAAGCGTAGAGTTCTCCAATCTTGTGTCATCTCCGCCATAAGGGCAAAAAGATTACTCAAGAAAGGATGTGTAGGTTACTTAGCCCACATCATTGATACTCAAGGGGTCACTCTGAATTTGGAAGATGTTCCTGTTGTTTGTGAATTTCCAGATGTCTTCCCGGATGATCTTCCTGGTTTGCCTCCTCAGAGAGAAACCGAGTTCACTATTGAACTCCTTCCAGGAACGAATCCAATTCATCAACCTCCTTACAGAAAGGCACCAGCAGAGTTGCATGAGTTGAAGATTCAATTGCAGGAATTGGTTGATCTTGGGTTCATTCGACCTAGTGTTTCCCCCTGGGGTGCACCAGTGTTGTTTGTTAAGAAGAAGGATGGGACCATGAGGCTTTGTATCGACTACAGGCAATTGAACAAGGTGACAGTGCGTAATCGATATCCTTTGCCTCGAATCGATGACTTGTTCGATCAGTTGAAGGGTGCCAAGTATTTTTCCAAGATTGACCTGAGATCTGGATATCATCAACTCAGAGTACGAGAGGAGGATATTCCGAAGACAGCATTCAGGACTCATTACGGCCATTATGAGTTCTTGGTGATGCCTTTCGGGTTGACGAATGCTCCAGCAGTGTTTATGGATCTCATGAACAGAGTGTTCCGACCTTATTTGGATCGCTTTGTGATTGTGTTCATAGACGACATCCTTGTATATTCCTGAACTTTGGAGGGTCATAAGAAGCACTTGAGGTTGGTGTTGAAGACTTTGAGAAGGAAGCAGCTTTATGCCAAGTTCAGTAAGTGTCAGTTTTGGTTGGATAGAGTGGTCTTCCTTGGACATGTGATATCAGCAGAAGGAATCTATGTGGACCCTCGTAAAGTAGAAGCTGTTATGAATTGGGTGCAACCCACAAGTGTAACAAAAGTACGAAGTTTTCTGGGGTTAGCAGGTTACTATCGTCGATTTGTGGAAAGGTTCTCTTCGATAGCAGCACCTCTTACCCGGTTGACGAGGAAAGATGTTAAGTTTGAGTGGACGGAGGAGTGTGAACATAGTTTTCAGGAGCTGAAGAAGCGGTTAATCACCGCACCCGTTTTGGCTCTTCCGGATAACTCGGGGAACTTTGTGATCTACAGTGACGCATCTTTACAAGGCTTGGGATGTGTTCTAATGCAACATGATCGGGTGATTGCTTATGCCTCGAGGCAACTCAAGAAGCATGAGCAGAATTATCCTGTCTACCCCCTGTAAAGTTCAAAAGACACCCAAAACAAACCCAGCCCAAACTTATAAACAAGCCCAAACCATAACTTTCGTCCAAAAAAAAAAAAGTGAACTGTAACTTCCAGCATGCGCGCCTTCATTAAACCTTCTCTGCAAAACGTCTCTTCACTCATCGTCTTCATCAAGTCAAATCGTCTTCATCAATTCGTCTTCATCGTCGTCCAAACCGAGAGTCCATAACCACCACCAAGATTGATCTCGTTTCAAAAACAAACACCAGACACTAACCAAGACAAAATTTCAGAGAACCATTTCAACAAGAAAACGCTTCAAAGGTAAGACATTTACAAACCAAACCTTTACTGTAATATTGATTTGCTATAAAGATCCAGTCTAGGGTAATAACAGTATTTTAGATTCGAATGAAAGACAAAATCTTGAAACTATATTGGATTTCACTATAGGACTGACTGCATAAGACCATTATTCTAGTCACTAATTTAGCCGCTAGTTTGCTTTCATGTTGATTAATGGCTATTTCTAAGGCATGTCTGCCACTGTAAAGTTCCAGTATAGGGTAATAACACTGCTAATTCCCTATGAAATCCTATTTCTAGTGCATGTCTATCACTGTCAAGTTCTAGTATAGGGTATTAACACCGATGCTTTACTGTCGTGTTCCTATTTCTAATGCAGGTATACCAATTAAAGATGAAGAAAGAAAGAGCTAGAAGAAACTCCAAAACAAAAGGTCAACAGTCATCATCCAAAACAACAACAAACAAGAAGCCAAGCAAATGGGAGGACCCAAATTATGTGCAGATCAAGAGCAACATGCTCTCTTTTGCAACAACAATTGACAACATCAGACAGAGACTTGAACGTCGGCACGATGTCTTAACACTGCTATCAAAGACACCTTTTTGGGCATTGATAGAAGCATATATCCAGAGAAGGTTAACAAAGGTAGAGTGCATGAAGTCTAACTACGACATTGTGAGACTCATACAAGTTTATGACACAAAGACAAAGAAATTCAAGTTTAATGATGGTGACAGTGAGATGAAAAGTAAAGATGTGGCTGAAATTTTTGGCTTGCCAAACAGTGGCAAGAAGTTACCAAGCACAACAACCTCAACAAGGCCAAAAATGCAGTTTGTAGAGAAATACTTCGCGCAGTATAAGAAGATAACAAAGACTTCAATTGATAAGTGCTTGAATTTAGCACTTGCAGATGAAACAGAAGAGGGTGCTATGGATGTAACAAGATTGATAATCCTACAACTCTTCATAACCAATCTCTTCTGCAACTCTGGTTGTACACTTGCTTGGACATATACAACCACAATAGACACCTTAGAAGAGATGGGGAAATATAATTGGGCTCGAGGAGTTTTGGACTACATGTATTTTGGATTAGAACAAGCAAAGAAGAACAAGAAGGACAAAAAAAAGCAGCCAAGCGTGAGTGGCTGCCTAATCCTAATACTGGTAAAAACACAAATCTCCAAACTGCAAATTCGTAGCATTATTCTAATTATATGAATTGACACGTGATATTTCAAAAAAAATATTGTGCAGTATTGGCTGTGTCAAATATCTAACCTGCTCACTCCAATTCCTGGAAGAGAACAAATGACACGAGCTGCTGTCAAATGGAGTCTTCAAGAACTCAGCGCAAAGCTTCATCATCTAAAGAACAACCAGATAAAGGTACTCTTTCCTTTCAAATAATCTGCAGCTGATATGACAACATTGTTAATACCATGTCATATACATACTTGTTAATACCATGTCATAGAAGTAAACTATGAATACCATGTCACAGAGGTAAACTATGGATACCATTTCACAGAAGTACACTATTAAAACCATATCATAGAATTACACTCGTAATACCATGTCATAGAAGTGCACTCTTAATACTAACTCTACTCAACAAATAGATAAAAAGCACTAAAGCTCAAGAGCCGGATGATGATTCTGTAGAAGAGAATGAAGAGAATGATGATGATTCTGAAGAAGAGAATGAAGAGGAGGATGATGCTGCTGAAGAAGTGAATGAAGAGCATAATGATGATGCTGCTGAAGAAGTGAGTGAAGACAAGGATGATGCTATTGAAGAGGTGAATGAAGAGCATGGTGATGCTGCTGAAGAAGAAAATGAAGAGGAGGAGGATGCTGAAGTGAATGGAGACCATGAGGATGCTGCTGAGCATCAAGTCCAGCAACACCACCAGGTACAAGAAGACCTCCAAAATGAAATCCCATAATACCGGAATTCAACGTTGTTTGAGGAAATTGTTAGATCAGTCCCAGAATACAAGGAGGATGAAATACAGCTTACAAAAGAGTATATGATGGCGATCAATAATGCTGCTGAATATTGGACAAAGAAAGGAGAGCATCAAAAGATCCATGATGCAATAGCATCTTGCATTAAAAAGAATAAATTGATTCAGATGCTGTACAATGAAAAAGAAGAATTATTGAAGCATCAGCAGCAACTGCAGAAGATGGTTAAGGAAGCAGCAAATCACAAGAAAGTCATACAATTAGATGTTCATCAGGAAAAATCCTACATGACAAAGCTGCAGCTAGAAAATGATCAACTTCTTGCAGAGAAGATTTCCTACTTGGACATTATTAATGAAAAGGAAGCTGTTATTGTCTCGTTGAGAGATCAAAAATTAGCGCAAGAACTGCAGAGTGAAAAGGATAAAGAAGAAAAGAAAGAAGGTGAAGCAGAAAAGATAAAATCAAGAAAACCAGATTCCTCATTCCCTAAAGCAGAGACGAGAGCACAAAAGAGAAAGGCACAAAAAAAACCAGCCAAATCAAAGAAGAGGGCCAAAGGTTCATTCCTGCAATGGAATACATATCAGGTCTACAACATGCTGGATGAACTCTCACAAGAAAAGCTGAGAAATTAGTTGATGGGTAAGGGAATGTGTTTCATTCATTTCAATGCAAGATGCTATTATTGACATGCATTAGAAAATAGGATTTCATGTGTTATTACCTTATACTTGAACTTTACAGGGGGTAGACATGCATTAGTTATAGGATTTCAGAGGAATCTAGCGGTGCTATTACCCTATATTAGAACTTTGCAGTGAACCCTTCCTACTTACAATGGTAGACATGTGTTAGAAAAGGGTTTTTAAGAAACAAGCAGTATTATTACCCTATACTGGAACTTTATTGAACAGTTCTTTCAATTTTATTGCCATTTTTTCTAACTACAAATACTGTTACAGCATTGCTTTTTGGCAAGGGACAAGCATTTTGTTCAAAGATGACATACAAAGCTTATTAAGATATACTGAAATTTATGGACAAATCATAGATGCGTATGCCGAAATACTTCATCATGATGAAAAGAAGGACCCTAAAAGACAACAGAATGCATACATCACGTGCTACGCATACGTAAGATCATAGCTATCCCATTACTTCTAGTAAAAATCACAAATTATTCATCTTCCTATACTTTTCACATTCTCTCTAATGCCGAAACTATTAATTTTGTAGAGGTATCTCACAGATAAAATGCACCTAAGAATATTCGATGAATATTTTGTCAAACTCCTTGAATGCATAGGGAAAACTTCAAAGGTGTTCATACCAATAACGGATGGCGGACACCACACCCTGCTTGTCTTTGACACCAATTCATTGCAATGGACGCACTACAACTCATTGAGGGGGGAAACTGAGCAAACCGTTGAATACTACAACAAAAAATCAATAATTTTGGTAAGACAGACTCCTATGAACTGTTAATACAAGGCATGAACAAAACAATTAATCAGTGAAGCTAACAATATACTTGCCTACAATGCAGGTAGACGCAACAAATGTCTTCCTCAATAGTGTCAAGGAATGTGCTCCAATAATTTTAGAAAAAAACAGCTTCCCACTTCTTGAGTTCAAGAAGCCCGTCTACAATGAAGAATTGACCAACGAGATTGCAAAACTTCTTCGAAACCTGAAACTTACACCAGCAATTGCTCAAACAATACAATATCTGATGAAACATGATCCCACAAAATCAACTTTAAGGAGGACAGGGAATGCGCCCAACAACCTGAAAAGTCGTAAGTTTCACAATAACACTTTTCTTCCCCCAATTCAAATTAAACTATGATTCACTAAATGTTGCATATATATGTGTGTGTGTGTGTGTGTGTGTGTGCATTTGCAGAAACGATTGTGGAGTGTTTGTCATGTACTACATGCAGAAGTTGTCACAAGAAAAACAAATTGAAGACAGCTTGAGCACAGAGCATGTGTGGGAAATGAGAAAAGAAGTTTTATTGAAGACAATGGAAAGTGAAAAAAGTTGGTATTTCACAAAAGAGAATGAAGGATGAAAGCATGGATTTCACAAATTTTAGAACTATAAAATAGTAAATGTTCGGCTTCTAACTTCCAAATGTCAAATTGTTAATATGTAGCTTCTAACCAAAATCTTTTGATGCTTCTTTACTTTCAAATGTCAAATAGTTACTGTGTAGTGAGATTCAAATGTTCAAAATGCGTATTAACAGTGACTTTCAAAAAGCCCAGCCCAAGTTGAGAAAATCAAAGTCAAAAACGAAATAAAGCTCAAAACAAATCAAGCAAGCCATAGAAAAATATAGAAAAAAGGTTCAGTCTAATTTGACAAAAAAAAAGCCCAAACAAACTAAAAAAAGAGCTCAGAAAACTCAACAAGCCAATAAAGCCCAATTTCACTAAGTCCATTGAAAAAAACGAAAATATCTCAACGCAAAGTACACGCACGCACCCAAAAGCGAAAAACCCACTAACCTCTCACTCCGAACTTTGCGACGCGACCCACTCCAAAAGCAAGCGAAAACCTCCATAACCACCAGGCAGGAGACAACCTCCATAACCACCAATCAACGACAAACTCCATAATGAGAAAGCCGGCAAATCAAAGTTATATTCTGCCATAGCCAAAAGTCTTCAAAATCGACACTACAAAAAGCAACTGAGCACAAGGACTTGAACTATTAATACCATGTCACAACTGTTCATACTATGTCATAGAACTTGAACTATTAATACCATGTCACAACTGTTAATACCATGCATCTTGCTCTTCTAGTGCACTGCAGTGCACTTGAAGACCAAAATATATAGCATCGTTTGTTAATCAAAATATGTGACTGCTATGCATCTATCTCTTCTAGTGTACTCCTTTGCAGTGCACTTGAAGACCAAAATATATAGCATGCTATGTATCTTACTCTTCTAGTGCACTGCTTTGCAGTGCACTTGAAGACCAAAATATGTAGCATCCTTTGTTACATAAGGTTCAGATCTTCTTTAAAAAAAAATCGTAGTGCCCTAGAAACAGAAGCATGAGATTCAAATGCATAGAAGTAAATGGTTAATACCATGTCATAGAAGTATTAATACTTATGTTTCATCTTTCTTTTGTTTGGTTAAAGTAACCTATTTGTTTCACTTTGCAGATCAAGAGCAACATGCTCACATTTGACAACACATTGCAAACGGTAAAAGACAAGCTTGCAGCAAAAAAGGATGTCCTCAAGATCCTACAAAAAAGGCCACTCTGGAGCATCATCAAGGCTTACATGGAAGGTCAATTAACCAAGGTAGAATGCCAGAAGTCTAATTATCAAATAATTAAACTAATCAGACTCTACAACCCTGCAACCAAAAAATTCAAATTCAGTGAAGGCAACAAGCATGAAATTACAAGCAATGATGTGTCTGACATCTTTGGATTGCCAAACAAAAGAAACAAGTGTCAAGCACAACAACTTCCACAAGAACAAATTTGGCCTTCGAGAAGTAAAAAAAAATCACAACAACTGAGATTGATAGGTGTCTGAACACAGCAATAGCAGATGACAGAAAGAAGAATGCAATGGATGTTGTCAGGTTGTTAATCCTAGAGCTCTTCATCACAAATCCCTTTTGCAACTCTGGGGCGACAATGGCTTGGACCTTTTTGACTATGATCGACACATTAGAAGCTATGAACAGCTACAATTAGGCACAAGGAGTCTTAGATTACATGCATTATGGACTGGACCAAGCCATAAAAAATAAAAAGGACAAGACAAATCAACCAAGTGTCAGTGGTTGCCTTGTGCTAATCCTGGTAAGAAACTACATCCATTTGTTAATCCTGTTATATTATTTGTTTTCATGTGCATTAACACTTTATATTGCAAAACATGTTTGCAGTATTGGCTGTGTGAAAGAACTAACCTGATCCGTCCAATTCCTGGAAGAGAAGATCACAAACCAGCGGCTGTCAAATGGAGCCTTCCGGAGCTCAATATCAAGCTTAATATTGCAACATATGAAAACATTAAGGCATTTTTCTTACTTCTATAAACATATATAATGTTAGTACACCATAATTACTACTGATTCCAATAATTCAACAGATAAAAGCTGCTAACAATGAAAAGAAGAAGCAACAAAGACTGATCATGCAGACCATGAAGAACAAGAAGAAAATGAAGAGGATGATGATTTTGTTATCACACTTAAAGATTGGGTAAGATAACCTACAATGATCCAACATTTATATTTCAAAACTGAATTGATAGTGTACAAACACATATACATGTATATAAATTTGCTAATACTTTTTTTTTCCTTTCTAATATTTGTGACAGTTAAAGAGTCAAACACAAAAAGGAAAAAAACATACTGTTATTACCTAGAAACAGAACTTCAGCTTCCATGAAAATGTGAACCAAAGTGCAACCTAGACAAAAACTCCACAACATGAGTAAAATGAAGACAATGCACAATCATTGGGATGCAAAGCAGATGATGAAATTGAAGAACCACCAGCACAATCATTGGAATGCGAAGCATATGATGAAATTGAAGAACAAGCAGTTGACCTTAGTGCAGACTCAATGACAAAGGAGGACACTGTTAATGTCCAGCAACAGAACCCAGAACTTGACAGCCAGGAAGAAGACTTCGACGCCATTTTTGTGGACATAGTGGGGTCAATCTCAGAGTACTACAAGCATGAAATAACCCCTACCCATGAGAAAATCCAACAGCTGAAAGAAGCAGTTGACTATTGGATTGAAAAGGCAGATACTCGAAGGGATATGATGCGACTGCTATAGAATCCTGCATAAAGAAAAATTCATTCATTCAACAAATATGGACTGAAAAAGAAGAGTTGGAGCAACAAATTGAAATACTGAAAAAGCAGCTTGAGCAAGAGAAAAAGAAGGTGCAAAATTACAAGGGGAACTTCATGCACTCAAATCAAATAGAAGACAGCTACAGGAACAACATGAACTACTTGAAGGCGAAAAGTTGTCCTGCACTGAAAGCATGAAAGAAAAAGACATTGTTATTGCCTCTTTGCAACATGTGATGGGAAAAAAATTCAAACAAGGTGAACAAGGAGAAATTACGATGAAAGAACAAGCTGATAAGGAGAAAAAAGATGAGAGAATAGCATAAGAAAGTGAATTGGAGATGCAAGAATCTCCTAACGATGAAGATGAGAACGCCGATGAAAAAACTCCTGAAAAATTAGTTATCATGCAAACAAAAGAAGTAGGAACACGGCAGTTGCGTTCTGGCATCAAAATAAACAAAGACAAAAAAGACAGAAAGCCTGCAAAGAGACCAGATTACACATACCCCAAAGCACATAAGAAATGCCAAAAAAGAGCAAGCCAAAGTGAAGATGAAGCAGCCAACAAAAAAAGGAGGACAAAGATACATACCTTCAGTTGCACATGTATGAGGTCTACAACAGGCTGGATGAAATATCAAAGAAGAAGTTGGAAAATTACTGGAAATCAGCATCTGATTATGATGAGCAAGCCAATCTGTCACAGAATTACACTGTTAATACTATGCCGTAGAACTGTCATAGAATTACACTGTTAATACTATGTCATAG